AAAAAGTAATCTAGCTCCATTGCTCGGTCTCAGAAATCTAACTGTGGTGGATCTTGGGACTAACTTCATTAAAATAGCTGACTTGAAAGTGTTCAAGGAGTTCCCTGCTCTTAAACTCATAGACCTCTCAGTGAATAAAATTTCTCCTTCTTCAGAGGAAAGCAATTCTTATGGATTTTGCTCTAATCCTCGGATTTCAGTAGAGCAATACAATAGGCAAGTATTACAAGAAATGCATTATTTCAGGTATGACGTATATGGGCGAAGTTGCAGGTCCAAAGACAAAGAGGCTGCTTCCTACCAATCTTCAGTTAAGGAAGAGTGCCTGAGGTACGGAGAAACTCTGGATTTGAGCAGAAACAATATCTTTTTCATTAACCCCTCAGACTTCCAGGGACTTGGTTCCCTCAGATGCCTCAACTTGTCAGGTAATGCAATAAGTCAAACCTTAAACGGAAGTGAATTCTCTTCCTTGTCTGGATTGAAATATCTGGATTTTTCCGACAACAGGATTGACTTGCTCTACTCAACTGCTTTCAAAGAGCTACAACTTCTAGAAGTTCTAGACCTGAGCAACAACAAATATTATTTCTTGGCAGAAGGTGTTAGTCACACGCTGAGTTTTATGAAAAACTTGGCCCACCTGAAGAAGCTGATGATGAATGAGAATGAGATTTCTACCTCTATTAACACAGGAATGGAAAGTCAATCTCTTCAAATTTTAGAATTCAGAGGAAATCGCTTGGATGTTTTATGGATGGATGGCAATGCTAAATACTTGTCATTCTTCAAGAATCTGACCAGCCTGGAACAACTGGATATTTCCTTCAACTCACTCAGTTTTTTACCTGCGGATGTTTTTCAAGGTATGCCTCCAGGCCTCAAGACCCTCAACTTAACCAATAATCAGATGAAGAGTTTCAACTGGGGAAAACTGCAGTATCTGAAGAAACTCGTAACTCTGGACCTCAGCAATAACCTTCTCTCTACTGTTCCCCGAGAACTGTCCAATTGCTCTTCAACACTCCAAGAACTGATGCTCCGAAACAATCGCATTCAGCGACTAACCAAACACTTTCTCAGAGGTGCTTTTAAATTGAAATACTTGGACCTCAGTGCAAACAAGATTGAAATAATTAAGAAATCTAGCTTCCCTGAAAACGTCATTAACAACCTGAGGATGCTGCTCTTGCATGGCAATCCTTTCAAGTGCAATTGTGATGCCGTGTGGTTTGTTTCCTGGATCAATCAAACTCAAGTGACTATTCCTCTTCTGGCAACAGATGTGACCTGTGCAGGCCCAGGGGCACATAAAGGAAAGAGTGTGGTTTTCTTGAATTTGTATACGTGTGAGCTGGACACCTCGTATTTGATCCTGTACGCTCTGTCAGCCTCAACTGTCCTAGCCTTAATGGCGTTCACAGTGATGAACCATCTCTACTTCTGGGATGTGTGGTATAGTTACCATTACTGCACTGCCAAGCTGAAGGGCTATCGGCGCCTCCCTTTACCAGATGCTTGCTACGATGCTTTTATTGCCTATGACAACAAAGATCCGGCTGTGAATGAGTGGGTGCTGACAGAACTGGTTGAAAGGCTGGAGGATCAGAAACCCAGGCAGTTCAATCTATGCCTGGAAGAAAGGGACTGGCTGCCAGGACAGCCCGTCTTTGACAACCTTTCCCAGAGCATTCGGCTGAGCAAGAAGACCGTCTTTGTGCTGACCAACAAGTATATTAAAAGCGGTCGCTTCAAGACAACATTTTACATGGCCCACCAGCGCCTTCTAGATGAAAAAATAGATGTCATTATCTTGATATTTCTTGAGAAGGTCTTGCAGAAGTCTCGGTATGTCCGGCTGAGGAAGAGGCTGTGCAGAAGTTCTGTCCTGGAATGGCCCACTAACCCCCGATCTCAGCCCTACTTCTGGCAGTGCCTGAAAAATGCCATAGCTACCAGTAATACCCTGGCCTACAACAAGCTACTCCAAGAAACTGTTTAGCTCTACTGTAAACACTGCTCGGATGCCTGGTGAGCAAAAGGTCCTAAACGTAACTTGGAGAAACTGTTGAGGTGTGGAGGATAAGAGGAATTGTGCCATTGTTCCCAAAATGAAACGTGCAATTGGTCCTCAAGCTGATAGTACACTTGTTTTGCTAGGACAAGATTGAACACAAACTGTTGCTGGCACAGATGTTTATCTGACACTTGCTTGGCATGGATTGCTGCCCAGCAGGAGAAGATGCACTACCCACTGGAAGCCCTTGCTTTAGAAGAGAATCACCACGTCCAGCTTTCAGTTTGCTGGGGGCCTCCAGCATCTTTTGTGGTTGGGTCAAGCATGGGTGAGACACTTGCCCGGCTTACTCCAGTACCCAGACTGCCGGGAGGAGTCTGGCCGTGCCTTAAATTGCTGCTGTTCAGATCACTGTTGGAGTAAAGGTGATTTTAACGAAGTGTTAGTTTCTGTATTTGGTGTATTTATGGAAAGCAAGAAAAGCATTTTGTGACATATTTGTCTCAGAAAATACCCAATTCATGCTTTGATTTATGAGTTGGGAACATGTAAGAATGACTATCTTTTCATCTCAGGCTTATAGATGTTGAGTCTACGGCTTCTGTATGTGTAGGCAACAGCCCCAATCGCTGGGGAAAGGTTGGGACTGCTGTCAGGGGCTTGAGTGTGGCATGGGAGCTCTCCTGCTGTTGTGTTATCAAAAAGCTCATAAAGGTGAGGGAACTTTGAAGAATGTGTATGGTCTAAAATAGGAAGGTATGTGGGAAACAATTTCAGAAGGGTTCACAGGCTGTGGGTTGGAAGCAATTACAAGATGAAGGGAGTCCTTGCGCAAGGACCTGCTATGTTGGAGTGAGGAGAGGGAGTAGGACAGAAGGTAGGATGAGGGAAGCCTTTGCAGAAGGCAGATGGAGAAAATCAAGTCAACCAAAGAGGAAGTAGGAAGAGACAAAGAAAGGAAGGTAAAAAAATAAAAAAAGAGAAATTGGAAGAGGTGGAAACAACTGAGAAAAAGTCATGAAAAAGGCATGATAAAAGCTAAGAAGCATTTACTGCTAATTTCCAGGTAACATCTTCACTCTGCCTTTCACCTTCCTCCTTGGCTGCTGTCTGAGCTGGGTCCTTCCTGAGGACTCTGGGTTCCTCTCCAGTGCTGTGCCATCAGCTCTAGGAGCTTGGCTTCCCTGTTTCCACCCATGTCCTGTGTTACAAACTGTTGTGTATCAACTGGGATGATGTTAGCAGGTCCAGCCAGGGCTGGGGCCCGAGGACATGCTAAAGTGACTGACTAGCCTGCCCAGACTTTCTCCAGAACAAACCAGAGTCACTCAAAGTTCAAAACATGGAAGATCAAGTCATACAAAGAAAGCATCTATCCCACCATTTCTTTAGCCATGCTATGGTGATCCAGAGCGGCCTCAAGCCCTCCTTCACCTCCTTGTTCCCCAAGCAGGTCCCTCTCCCACAGTGGCTGCTGGGGCACCACTAAAATCTGAACCAGGAACAGGTCTGACTGACTTTCGAGACATCCGGAAAAAAGGGAAGAAACACTGCTCAGAAACATAAACACTTGGGCCCGTTGCCCGCTGTGGTTCACAGCACAGCCTCGTCGAACATGTGACAGTATTTCAGCTAAGGACTTTTGTAATGGCAGCCTAAAACTCTGTGCATGGCACAGGTGGGCTCTCTGCTTGCTGTGATGATCTCTGTTTTGGGAGGAGCAGCGCGCTTTCACCTTGCTAGCGTTCCTGTCCACAGTGCAGTCTGGGGGGCTTCTCCCCTCCCCTCTCAAAGCCTTTTTGCTTTTCTGGCAGCTTGTCTCAGTGACAGCTCTGGCTAATGGGGAACTGACACTCTTAACTGCTTTGACCCAGCTGTCACACCCTGGTAGAATTCTCAGTCTTGAAGGGTACAGGATAAATAAAAGTAGAATCAGGATCCTAAACCTCAGAAAGGCAAACTTTTGACTATTTAGGGTGTTAGTGCGTGGGATCTCTTGGGAAACTGCCCCCAGGGATAAAGGAGCGAACGAGAGCTGGGATATATTTAAAGACATTTTACTTAGGGTTCCAGAGCTCTCAATCATGATGTGCAAGAATTCAGGAAGTCACGACTTCTTAGCCAAACTTAAAAAACAGCATAGGCAGTGGAGGAAGGGATACACATCCTGGGGAGATGATAGGGATATGTCCCAGGGAAGAGTGAGTCATATCATCTACCTGGACTTGTGCAAAGCATTTGATACTGTCTCACAAAACATCCTTGTCTCTAAATTGGAGAGACGTGGATTTGATGAGTAGACCACTTGGTGGATGAGGAATTGGCTGGATGGTCAGTGTTGTGGTCAGCAGCTTGATGTCCATGTGGAAACCAGTGATGAATGGTGTCCTACAGGGGTCTGTATTGTGATGAGTATTATTTAACATCTTTTTTTGGTGACATGGACAGTGGGATTGAGTGCACCCTCAGCAAGTTTGCAGAGGACACCAAGGTGAGTGGTGTGGCTGATAGTTTATAGGGAAGTGATGCCATTCAGAGGGACCTCAGCAGGCTAGAGAGGTGGACCCATGCAAACCTCATTAAGTTCAACAAGGCCAAGTACAAGGCCCTGCACCCGAGTGGAGGCAATCCCAAACACAGATATAGGCTGGGCGACGAGTGGATTGAGACCAGCCCTGAGAAGAAGGACTTGAGGGTATTGGTGGATGAAAAACTGAATATGAGCTGGCAATGTGTGCTAGCAGCCCCAAAAGCCAATTGCATCCTGGGCTGCATCAAAAGAAGTGTGGCCAGCAGGTTGAGGGAGGTGATTCTCCCCCTCCACTCCACTCCTGTGATACCCCCATCTGGAACTCAGCTCTGGAGGCCCCAGCATTCTAAAGACATGGACCTGCTCAAATGGGTCCAGAGGAGAGCCACAAAGATGATGAGGGGACTGGAGCACCTCTCCGATGAGGACTAGCTGAAAGAGTTGGGGTTGTTCAGCCTGGAGAAGTGAAGACTTCAGAGAGACCTTATTGCAGCCTTTCAATACCTAAAGGGGACCTACAGGAAAGATGAGGAGAGGCTCTTTATCAGGGAGTGTAGTGATAGGATGAGGGATAACAGTTATAAACTGAAATTCAGAGGGTAGATTTAGACTAGATATAAGGAAGAAATTCTTTACTCTGAGGGTGGGGAGACTCTGAAACAGGTTGGCCAGAGAAGTTGTGGATGCCCCATCCCTGGAAGTGTTCAAGGCCAGGTTGGATGGGGCTTTGAGCAACCTCATCTAGTGAAAGGTGTCCCTGCCCATGACAGGGGAATTGGAACTAGATTATCTTTAAGGTCTCTTCCAATTCAAACCATACTATGATTCTATGATCTCAGCTGCCTCCTGTGCTTCCTTGCCTACCTGTTCTGCCTGATCTTTTCTTTAAATAGTTCTTTTTTGATTTGGTTGTAGGCATCCAAACAGACAAGTACATAAACACGAACAAGAAAACCAAGGATCATGTAATAATATTACAGATAATAAGGGGTTTTTCCTCCCAATTTATCACAGCAGTTTTAACGATTAACAATAGAAGCAGAAGAAAGAGGAGGGTCTGGTTAAAGTGGGTGATTTATAGTTATATTTTAACAAATGTCTTTCTGATGATTGTGTCTGTATCTCAAAATAGAGTAACGTGAGCTGTACTACAGCTCTCTTCATAAGGCAGAATCGTAGAATCATAGAACATCTTGAGCTGGAAGGGACCCATAAGGATGATCGAGTCCAAATCCCTCCTCCTTGTTGGACCACCTAAAACTAAACCATATGACTAAGACCATCATCCTGATGCTCCTTGAACTCTTACAGACTTGGTGCCATGACCACTTCCCCTATTCCAGTGACTGACCACCAGCCAGTCCAGTGAAGAACTTTTTCCTAATGTCCAGTCGGAACTTGCCTTCAAACTTCATACTGTTTCTTTTTGTCTTATTGCTGGTCACCAGAGAGAGGAGATGAGCACCTCCTCCTCTACTGCCGCCTTGAGGAAGCTGTAGACTGCAATGAGTCATCCCTCAGCCTTCTCTTCTCCAAGCTGAAAAACAAGTTACTTCAGCCTTTCCTCATAAGTCTTGTCCTCGAGGCTTTTCACCTCTTGGTTGCCCTCCTCTGGACACACTCTAATAGTCTGATTTCCTAGTACAGAGGTGCCCAAAACTATATTCATCACCTCCCTTGACTGGCTAGCTATGTTGTGCTTGATGCACCCCCCAGACACAGTTGGCCCTTTTGGTTGCCAGGGCACACTGTTGACTCATATTCAACTTGCCATCAACCCAAACCCCTACATGTCTTTCTGAGGGGCTGCTTTCCAGCCTCTCATCCCCCAATTTGTATGTATAACCAAGATTACCCTGTCCTAGATGCAGAATCTGGCACTCCCTCTTGCTAAATTTCACATGGTTGGTGATTGCCCAGCTTTCTAGTCTATTCAGACCTCTCTGTAAAGCCTCTCTATTCTCAAGAGAGTCTACAGCTCCTCTTAGTTTAGTATAATCAGAAAACTTACTTCATGTACATTAAATTTCTGCTTCCAGATCATTTATAAAAGCATCAAAAAGCACTGGCCCTAAAATTGAGCCCTGGGGAATGCCACTGGTGACTGGCTACCAGCCTGATGTAACTCTGTTTTCTATAACCCTTCGAGCCCAGCCCATCAGCCAAATGTTCATTCATCATATTACAGACTTGTCTATCTGCATTGCTGAAAATTTGTCAAGAAGGATTGTGTGAGAGATCGTATCACAAGCTTTGCTGAAATCAAAAATCCCCACATTTACTGGCTTCCCTTGGTCAACTAGATGTGTGACCTCGTTATAAGAGGAAATTAAGTTAATGAAGCTTTCCCCTTGTGAACACATACTGACCAGAGACTGTCTCTCAAGTGTTTTTCAACAACTCCAAGAACAACCTTCTCTGTAATTTTACCAGGCACTGAAGTGAGATTGGCGT